GGGCGGCGAGGCCACCTCCCGCGAAAACCTAGGCGACTTCCGGAGCGGGCTAGAGGCGGCCCCCGGCGCCGCGCCCGGCGTGCGTTCCAGGACCACCATGCCCAGATACGGAGAGCCTCTGGGACGAACCCTGCGGCGATCGCCGGCCGCGAGACGGCGACGAGCAGCTCTACAATTAGCTCTCGGGTGTGTGACAGTGTGAGCCGGGGACGGCACTGGAGATGGTTGGCAGCCTGGCAAGAAGGGGAATTTTGAAAAAAATCGCCCTGGCCGTTGCTGGCTTGCTGCGGCGCGGACCTAAGTCGGATCTCGTGGGGCCACTCGTCAGGAGTAATGGGTTTTCTCCTACTGCTCGTTAGCACGGGCTGGGCTTTCATGGGCCGGGAGTGGCGTGTCCGTGACGTGTCTGTAATACTAGAAGCGACGAACGATGGACGTCCGTGATTGTTTGTAACGGCAGCGTGTTGGTGCCGGTGCCGCCGTCTGTCTGGGTAGCGACGGCGCCACGGCCACGGGGACATTTAACTTTTTACCATTATAACGGACAGCCACTCTTGAGATCTCATCTTGCCGAGTTCGCATAATTTTTCAGCAGCGGTGCTCGCCCAACCATACATTTTTACCACTTTTGGTGTCGTGGCGCTCCAGGACAGCGTGCCACGTTGGATCCGCGCGCGCGAAGGGGGCAAAATGACCTCGCCTGCCCCTGCCCCCATCCTCTTAGCTATACGGGCCGGTCTGAGGTGCTCCAGCCGGCCCATTTGCCCTCCCTTCTGCCTCCTTCTTCTTCTTCCTTGGCTCCGGACACACTCGCCGTCGCCGTCGCCGTCCGCCGCCGCCGCCTCATTCCCTCCCTCCGTCCTCCACCGCACTCACCTGAAGGCTTACTGAAAAAAGGTATGTCCCATCCGGACCGACACTGTCATTCCCGTTTTTTGGTTTGCACTGGTATGATTCGAGGCTCGGGTTAGGGTGTTTGAGAATGATGTTGGACCTGCTCTTTTTCCTTTGACAGTTCATGTAGTAGAGGGAAACGTAGACGCAATGGACTGGAATTCGAGGAGTGGTTGCCCTGTTTGGTAAGAACCCTAATCTTCTAGATCGTTTTCTCTTCACTTTGATGGGATGGGACTACGGTTTCTGTGTAGTAGGTTGTCCCTAACATCTGTTTTTGTGCAAGGATTGAACATGGTAATGCGTTTAGATTAGTTGTAAAGGTCTCTAAGTGGATTGTTGAGGATGAGTACGGGCTAGTGGCCATGTCTGAGCAGGAACATGAAATCTGGCTTGATAGGAATGATCATTATACTCTTGCTAAGTTTCATGCTGAAATGAAAACAAAGATAATCTGGGGACCTTCACAGACATTGGCAGTTTGGGTGGTTGAGCTAGACAGTCCCTCTCAATGGAAAATACGGAGGGATGAACATTTTCAGCAGCTTATACTTTCTAGATGGAATGAAAAAGAAGTTGTGCTTGCAATGGATGTTGTCAATAAAGATGATGAATCAGTGAATAGTTGCTCTGGTGTTAGGTTTGTCTCTGGTGTCACTTCTGCTGGCAGTGGTGTTCCTTGTAATGCTGGAAGTAGTCATGCTGGTGTTAATGGTCAAGGCAGCAGTGGTGGTACTGGTAATGGTCAAGGCAGTGCTGCTCATGGTAATGGTCAAGGCAGTGCTGCTCCTGATATAACACAAGGTAGTGTTGTACCTGATAATGTTGAAGGCACTGGTGACACTTGCAGCAGTCCTCCTCCTTCTATGCCACCTGAACAAGCACAACCAGTAGATTGGGCTCAGTTGATTGTTGAAGAAGAAGCAAATGAGGATGGAGACGCCAAGGCAGCAGTTGATGAGGATAAAGTTTATGAGGCTATGGGTTTTGCAGCAGCAGATGAGAGAGCTGATGAAGCAGCAAGGGAAGCTATTCCTATCCCTGCCATGACAGCTGAGATGCAGGCTGATATGGATGAGGCAGCTGTTCCAGTTGATGACCATGATGATCAAGAACCAATGTTTGACTGGGACAGAGAAAATCCAGATTTGTCTGTTGGGGTTTTTTTTCCATCCATGGATGATTTTAGGCTAGCAGTAAGACAACATGCAATAGTCAAAGATTTTGAACTTGCTACTTCTCATTCAGATACTGAAAGGTTTAGGGGACATTGTGCTTCTCTGGGATGTCCTTGGATAATTAGAGCTAGAACTCAGCATGGTGGGAGTGTCAGGGTACTAAATTTGCATTTTCATTGTTCAAACTAAATTTCTGAATTCTTTTTATGTTAAATTTTGAGGTGCTGAAATATTTTGTTTTAGTGCAGGTGCAAATAAATGAAGGTGTGCATACATGTGCTGGAAGGAATAAGGTGCCTGGTGCTATGGCCTCACAGGCTTGGGTGGCAGAAAGGGCATTACCATATTTGAGGAGGATGCCAAACATGGGCCCAACAACATTGAAGGAAGAGCTAGATGAAAAGTATGGCATTGATATCAACTACCAGACTGTTGTATATGGAAGAAAGAGAGCTGCTGACAAGCTGTTTGGTAAGCTAGCTGATTCATTTGATTGGTTGTATAGGTTTAAGGCAGAGGTAGAATTGAGATCACCTGATAGTATTGTTGAGGTAGACAGTGAGGAAGTTGATGGAAAGGTTTATTTTACAAGATTTTTCTGTTGTTTCAAGGCTGCCATAGATGGTTTTAGAAATGGGTGCAGGCCTTACATTAGTATAGATTCTACCCATTTAAATGGGCTCTGGAATGGGCAGCTGCCCTCAGCTCAGGCATTGGATGGCCACAACTGGATGTATCCATTGGCTTTTGGATTCTTTGAGTCAGAGACCAAAGAGAACTGGATCTGGTTTATGCAGCAGCTTAGCAAATCAATTGGCCCTATGGAAAATTTAGTTGTTTGCACTAATGCTTGTAAGGGTCTTGAGGCAGCAGTGGCTCAGGTTTGGCCTCATTGTGAGAAGAGGGAGTGTTTTAGACACTTGATGGAGAATTTGAAGAAGTATTATACTGGAGAGGTGTATGCCAAGAATATGTGGCCAGCAGCAAGGGCTTACACTCCAAACAAATACAAGTTCTTTTTTGACAAGGTTGTTCAAGCTAGCCCAGGTATTGTCAAGTGGCTCAATGAGCATCATAACCTACTTTGGGCCAGAAGCAAGTTTAGTACAGAGATCAAATGTGATTACATCAACAACAATTTAGCTGAGTCTTGGAATGCCTGGATCAGAGACTGCAAGGATCTCCCTGTACATTGCTTGGCTGATGCTATTAGGGAGAAGACATTGACTTTGTTTGCTAAGAGAAGAAGAATCTCTGTTGGTTTGGGTCCTGACATCTTGCCTGCTGTCATACACCAGCTAAATGCAGCCTCTAGGGGTCTAGGACACCTCAAAGTAAAGAAGGGTCATCCACATGAAGCAGAAGTCATAGAAATATACAAGGATCAAGAGGTTAGGAGGCATGTTGTTTATCTACAAGAGCATGCATGTACTTGTAGGGAGTGGCAGCTCACTGGGAAGCCATGCCCACATGCCCTAGCTGTCATCACCAGCCAAAGGCAGCCACAAATGGGCTTGTTTGTTCACCAGTACTACTCTGTTGACAAATTTCGAGCAGCATACCATGGTACAATCCCTCACATCACTGATAGAAACCAATGGCCAGAAGTTGACAAGGGTTTCAAGTGTCTTGCACCACTAACCAAGACAAAAAAGGGGCCAGGCAGGGAGAGGAAGAAAAGGTTCCTTGGACCATTTGAAACTAGTGGGAGAAGAACTAGGCAGGCAAAATGCAAAGATTGTGGGGAATTTGGATACAGGAGTGGGAGCTGGAGATGCTCACTTACAGGCACAAGGAAAAGGTTAATTCTAAACCTAGGTTCTCTATCATTCTTACCAATACTTATATAATGTACCCTCATCTGTTTTGTTTCATGCCAGGAAGAGGACAAAGAAGACAGCAGCAAAACCTGGAAGGCCAAAGAAGGGAAAGAAGGACCAAGCAGATGGGGAGGGCTCAAGTGTTCAATCTTCACCAAGAACAAGACTAGCAGCAGCTAGAGAAGCAGCTGACAGAGCAGCCAAAGCAACTCAGCTAGCTACAGATAAGGCTACAGTAGCAGCTGAAGCTGCAGCAGCCAAAGAAGCAGCCAGAAATGTCCCTGATGTTGAATTGCAAGCAGCTGAAGCTGCAGCAGCCAAAGAAATGTCCCTGATGTTGAATTGCAAGCAGCTGCAGCACCCTGATGTTGAATTGCAAGTTGTGAACCAGCCAGAAGAAGCTGTTGCTACAAAGAAGATGACACCTAGGAGGAAGCAACTAGCTACCAAGATCAAGAAGACTCCAACAAAGAAGACTCCAACAAAGAAGACAGCAGGAACCAAGGGGAAGAAGAAATGAGACAAAGCTTCAATTCAAAATATCTCTTATTTTGGCCCATGCTGTCCTGAACTTGTTTAGTCTTTTCTTTTGAAAACTGTGATGAAAAACATGTAATGGATGAGGCCACAATACATCCTTGTGTATGGATGTCAAACTGTGCAAGTGGCCAGAACAAAACCAGTCATGTAATGCAATGCTTAACTGAGCAGTTTGTTTCTATCACTTGATCAGTTTGTTTCTATCACTTGATGAGTTTGTGATCTGTGCATTATCATCTGTGTTTCAGTCCCCCCATTGTTCATGGGATCCAATTGTTCATACACACAAAAATTGGAACATTGCTCACACAAAAGTAGGCTTATTTCATTTCATTTCATTGTTCAAACATACAGATCCAACATGGAAAGCAACCATTTTGAGTATAACATGTTACTTCATTGCAAAATACATCATTACACATCCAAACACTACACAAACAATACACAAAATGAATGAGTTCATCTTCCAGATCACATTGTCCAGCTTCTGCTCCAGGGGATGCTCCAGTGCTTGCCTCGGCTTGTCGACATTTGTGTAATCCACAGAATCAACTTCTTCGTCCAACATCTATGCCCAGTTCGACGGCCGAACAACTATGACGCCATCGTCCTTTAGCTTCTGAAAGTACTGCTTCTCGAAACGATAGTAGCCACAAACCTTCGAATACTGCATAAACGAAACGGGTAGTAAGAACCCTAGCTCAGATTTCGGGAACAAAGCACACCGACTGGATACTCACCGTGTTCCTTGCACACTTGAAATATAGTCGCCCCTGGTTTTCACCCTCCTTCTTCGTCCGCCCCTCAACCACCCTATCCAACCCACATTCCGGGTAAACGATCAGTGGAAAGCCGCTTAGCTCACCGACTGGATCGAAGTCGATGGAGTGGATGCGGGTGCTCCGGCCCCCTTGCAGCCTGCTCCTGGCACGTCCACCTCCAGAGGACTCGGCGTAGTGAGTCATGTGCGGTGGAGGACGGAGGGAGAGAATGAGGTGGCGGCGGCGGACGGCGGCGGCGGCGAGTGTGTCCGGAGCCAAGGGAAGAAGAAGGAGACAGGAGGGAGGGCAAATGGACCGGCTGGAGCACCTCAAACCGGCCCGTATAGCTAAGAGGATGGGGGCAGGGCAGGCGAGGTCATTTTGCCCCCTTCGTGCGCGCGGATCCGACGTGGCACGCTGTGCTGGAGCGCCACGACACCAAAAGTGATAAAAATGTATGGTTGGGCGAGCACCGCTGCTGAAAAATTATACGAACTCGGCAAGGTGAGATCTCGAAACTGGGTGTCTATGGTAAAAAGTTAAATGTCCCCGGCCCACGGCGGCTTGCGGCTTGTGCGCGTGTGTGTCCGGGCGAGAGTGAGAGGGAGAGAGGAGCTGGGAAGGGATGGAGGCGCTGAGGAAGCAGGCGAGCAAGTTCAAGGAGCAGGTCGCCAAGCAGCAGCAGGTTCCGGATCCCGCTCCCGAACGCCCGATTCTTCATTCCGCCTCTCGGTTCTGTGCTCCCGCCGTTGCGCGTAGAAAATGGGCGTGATTTCGCGGTGTTTGGTTGCTCAATGTGTCGCGAGGCTGCCGCCAGGATGTGGCTGAGAGACTGCTTTCGATTTTAGGTCTCGCGGTTCTCATGTAGCTGGATCTCGGGGTTCCAACGCGAATTTGCATTTCTTGTACCACGTGGATCATGGGCCAAGAGCTGTTTTTTTAGGATGCACGAGACCTTTTTGTGTCCTGTTGTATCTTGCTAATTTGGAATGTGAATTGTTCATTAGTCATTATAGCTCTAGTGTGAAGCGGACGTTGCAGCCTGCAGTTCATTGATTCCATGGCTGCGAAAAAGATAGTTGGGATAAGGTTTTGTGTTTGTAGCAGAGGCATTGAATTGCACTTCTAGTGGCAGCGGTGGCATAGTATTAACTGATACTTGTGGCACAGTATGGGTCCATACCTGATGTAAGCGCTGTAAGGAAAAATTGGTTGATTATGTATTATGTATTTATATATATTGGTTGAAGTGTACAACTCACTGTTATGGCTCCCCCGATCAGGTATATGTGAGACATGTTCCTTCTACAAGTTAGCATTTGGTATCTCACTCTGTTTTGGATCCTGTGTAGTATTCTATTGTACTTGGACAATTGCGTCCTGCAATAATGTGTTCTAACTACTCTATTGTTACTTGTTATCTGTCTGTAATTACTTCCATGATGATCTTTTATGGAGAAGCTGTTATGCCAGCATGCAGATATGGAATTGACTAGTTACATTTTTTTTGCATTCCATGATGATCTTTTTTTTTTTTTTTGCGACTTCATTATTTTGCATTCTTATAGTTTCCTTTTCAACCCTTGTTTTTTTTTAATTACAAGAAACCAAGTAATGTACATGCTCCTGGTATATTGTTGTTGCCTAAAGGCATGCATGTAAAACTTAAGCATTCTGACAAAGAGGGTATTCTACAGCTTGATTATATTTTGTTTACTCTCGAGTTCTTCTGTATGCATCGCACAATGGAGGCAACTACTATCATGCCACAAATTGAGATGCTGAGAGCTTTAAAATGATATCAGTTATAGCCTTGTAGGCAGCTACTGTTTTGAAACTACAGATTTGTGGTTGCAATGTCCACTAGTGCTTTGAAGTCAATCCTTTCCTTGCTTACATTTGTGATTTTAAAATTTTCAGGCTGTTATAAAGCAGTTCAGTGCTACTGGTTATGAGCGGTCAGATTCTGTTGTAATTGATGAGGTTGAACTACAGAGACATCAACAGCTTGAGAAATTGTATACTTCTACTCGTTCTGGAAGGGTAAGAAGGGGAGAATTATAGATGGCCTTTTGACCTATATATTGATGCGAACACCTGGCCAAAAACTGATGTTGCATTTGCATTGTTCAATATGCATCAAACATAGTCTTTGTATATTCAGTGCACTAGTAAGTATTTTTTTTCAAAGGAAGTGAAGATTTCATGATTGCAGTATACCCTTTACTGAGTTTCATGATGGCAGTTGTTACATTTCTGTTATGTATCCACTCTAACAGGATTTCCAGAAGGACATAGTTAGAGCAGCTGAAGGTTGGGTGTCTATTGGAAACAAACATATTGAAGTGGGTATGTACTTATGTGGCTCATGTCAGTTATCCTTGGTTAATTCTGTCAGTTTGGGATTTCTTCACAGCAAAAGAAAGTTACATTGTTATTTTGTCTTATTTACATTTTTCTCACATAGTAGAGCCATTGGTTAGGGTTAGAAATAGGATATCTACCCTCCAAAACTTAGTGTAGTATGATGCTTTGAGCTAGAATAGTCATTTGTGACTGCAGCTATCTAGGATGATAAATTCATATACCCTCCATCTTGAGAAGGAATCACTACTATTTTCAATGGTTATCACCACTATATTTTCTAGAGGTTATTTTAGCTTAGTTGAAAAACTCGTGAATTTCAAATAGGGTTTAATCAGTTTATTTCTTTCTTTCTTTTGCAGTGCATGCTGTTACACTTGTATGCAAGTCTCCCAATTCAATATCTATGAAATAGTTTGTTAAACTGCTGCATTTATTCTTTCTTTTGGCCATAGGAACAAAATTTTCTGAGGACTGCTATAGATATGGAGGCGAAAATAATGCAAGCGACGAAGCCCTTGGAAAAGCAGCATCACTATATGGAGGTGCTTTGAGAAATATTGAGAAAGAGTATGAGGATTTCAACAGAATTTTATCTTCTCAGGTAAATGCTTTTCCCACATAAGGCCTGTTTAGTTGGAGATCACTTGTGGGAATTTATGTGTAAGGGCGTTTGAAGGCTCTTGGTTGGTTGTCTGGTTGGCGGGCAGAAAATATAGGTGTTATGGGGAATGCATATTTCAGGGTACAGTTACCATTCATGCAGCCTGTTCGCTTGTTGGTTTCAGTCAGGGCTTATCAGCCATGGTACAGTATTTTCCTCTCACAACAAACCAGCACCAGCCGGGCTTATTAGCCCAGAAACCAACCAGCGAACAGGCTGATGGAGTGAGTTGCTAATTGGAATGGATTTGAATAACTTTTTGAGGAAGATGAATGTATCTCAGGCTGGAATGTAGGGTCCCTTACGGGTAAGTTAAGAGAGTTAGTGGACACAGCGGTTAGGAGGCGTGTAAATATCTTATGCGTCCAAGAGACTAAATGGAAGGGGCAGAAGGTGAAGGAGGTGGACAATACCGGCTTCAAGCTCTGGTACACAGGGACAACTTCAAATAAAAATGGAGTACGAGTTTTGATTGATAAGAGCCTCAAGGATGGTGTGGTGGAGGTGAGAAGGCAAGGGGATAGGATCATCTTAATTAAACTTGTCATTAGTGTATGGTCTTAAACGTAATTAATGCGTATGCCCCCCAAGTAGGCTATGATGAGAGTGCTAAGCGGCTTTTCTAGGAAGACTTAGACCGCTTTGTTAGAGCTGTCCCTAGTAGCGAGAAGCTCTTTATAAGAGGTGATCTTAATGGCCATGTAGGTACATCAAGTGCAGGTTTCGAGGCGGTTCATGGGGGTTTCGGATATGGTAGTAGGAACCAGGAGGGAGAGGAAGTCTTAGACTTTGCTATAGCTTTTGATCTGATGATAGCTAACACTTTCTTTCGTAAGAGACAATCCCATTTAGTGACCTTTAGCAGCGGCCAGTATTTTAGTCAAATCGACTTTGTCCTTACAAGGAAGGATAAATGAACATGCGTTGACTGTAAGGTGATACCTGGAGAATGTGTGGTCGCTCAACACAAGCTGGTGGTGGCTGACTTCCGCTTTCTGGTGCAAGCTCGTGGGAACAAACAAGCTAGGGTTGCTAGAATGAAGTGGTGGAAATTAGAAGGGGAGACATCAAAGGTCTTTAAGGAAAAGGTCATTAAAGAGTGTCCTTAGAAGGATGAAGGCGATGCAAACAGCATGTGGGAGAAGATGGCAACATGCGTTCGGAAGGTTGCTTCAGAGGTGCTTGGAGTGACCAAAGGGAGCGGATGCGACTCGAAAGACACTTGGTGGTGGAATGAAGATGTGCAAAAGGCTATTAAGGAAAAGGAGTGATATAAGCGCTTGTATCATGACAGATGTGCAGACAACATAGAGAAGTACAAGGTGGCAAAGAAGACTGCAAAACGAGCGGTGAGTGAGGCAAAGGGGCGGGCCTATGAGGACATTTACCAACGTTTGAGTACGAAGGAAGGAGAGAAGGACATTTATAGGATGGCTAGGGCTCGCGATAGGAAGACAAGGGACTTCAATCAAGTCAAGTGCATAAATGATGAGAGGGAGCAGCTCTTGGTGAAGGAGGATGAAATCATACATAGATGTCAAGAGTATTTTGATAAATTGTTCAATGGTGAGAATGAGAACACCACCGTTCAGCTGGACGACTCGTTTGATGACACTAATAGGCGTTGTGTGTGGAGGGTTCAAGAATCGAAGGTCAGAGAAGCCTTGAAAATGATGAAAGGGGGCAAAGCGATGGACCCTAATGGTATCCCAATCAAGGTGTGGAGATGTCTCGGGGATATAGCTATAGTATGGCTAACCAAGATGTTCAACAATATTTTTCGATCGAACAAGATGTCTGAGGAGTGGAGAAGAAGCATATCGGTACCAATCTACAAGAACAATGGGAGATATCTAAAGTTGTACTAATTATCGGGGAATTAAGTTGATGAGCCACACTATGAAGCTATGGGAGAGAGTCATCGAGCAGCGCCTGCGAGGAACGACGTAGATATCAACAAACCAATTTGATTTCATGCCTGGAAGGTCAACCACAGAAGCAATCTTCTTAATAAGACAATTATGGAGCGGTTTAGAGAACAGAAGAAGGACCTCCACATGGTTTTCATTGACTTGGAGAAGGCTTATGACAAGATATCAAGAAATGTTATGTGGTGGGCTTTGGACAAACATAAAGTCCCATCAAAGTACGTGACCCTCATCAAGGACATGTACAACAATGTTATGACTAGTGTTCGAACAAACGATGGTAACACAGATTACTTCCCGATTACAATTGGACTTCATCAAGGGTCAGCCTTAAGCCTGTATCTCTTTGCCTTGGTAATGGATGAGGTTACCAGGAACATACAAGGGGATATCCCTTGGTGCATGTTGTTCGCTGATGATGTATTGTTAGTGGACGAAAACCAGGCGGGAGTAAATAAGAAACTAGAGTTATGGCGGCAGACCCTTGAGTCTAAAGGTTTTAGGTTGAGCAGAACTAAAACCGAATACATGAGATGCGACTTTGACGGAGCTGCACAGGAGGAGGGAGATGTGAGTTTGGAAGGTCAAGTAGTGCCTAAGAAGGATACATTTTGGTATCTGGGATCGATGCTATAGAGGGATGGAGATATTGATGCGGACGTTAGCCATAGAATCAAAGCAGGGTGGATCAAGTGGCGACAAACTTCTAGCATTCTCTGTGACAAGAGGTACCACAAAAGCTAAAAGGCATGTTTTATAGAACGGCGATTAAACCGGCTATGTTGTATGGAGCAGAATATAGGCCTACAAAGATCCGACGTGTTCAACAACTGAGTGTTGCAGAAATGCGTATGTTGCGATGGATTTGTGGTCACACAAGAATGGACCGAGTTCGGAACGATGATATACGTGATCGCCTAGGGGTAGCACCAATTGAAGAAAAGCTTGACCAACATCGGTTGAGGTGGTTTGGCCATGTCCAAAGGAGACCTCCAGAGGCATCAGTGCATTGTGGAGTCCTAAGCCAAGCTAATAATATGAGAGGTAGAGGAAGACCGAAATTGACATGGGGGGAGGCAATAAAAAGAGATTTGAAAGCTTGTGATATACCTAGAGATCTATGTTTGAATAGGAGTGCTTGGAAAGCAGCTATTGAAGTGCCTGAACCGTGACTTGGGGCTCTTGGTGGGTTTCAACTCTAACCTACCCCAACTTGCTTGGGACTGAAAGGCTATGTTGTTGTTGTTGTTGAATGTATCTCAGGCATTTAAAATGACTTATTTTTAGCATGGCTTTACTTCCTGAATTCTAGAAGATATCATTGGTGGATGTGAATTTGTATTGAATGTTTCCATTGGCAACTGGAGAGTGTGGTGACACCCTAGAATATCCAAGGTGTTGGAAGCCTTTTTGTTTTGAGTAAATTTTTTCACAAGTCCATCTTAGCCCCCATGAAAACCAAAATGTTGCAAGTCTCCTTAGCGGTAACTTTCTGATACTAATATTCCAAGTTACCAAGCATATCATTCTGTTTCTGCTTTTCCTTTTACTTCCCGATTCATATGATATCAGTAGCTTGTGTATGGTATATTGGAATTGATCGCCATACGCATAATTTCTGTTTATTCGCTTAGAACAGCCTTTTTCAGTGCAAGTTTGAGTCCAAGCCTTCTGAAATACATTATATATGCCGTTCTGATAGAAATAAGTACACATGTATGTGTGAGGTATTTGGCTCTCATTTAGATACATTTTAAGTTCCTTACATTTGTTGACATTTCAGACTATAGACCCATTGAGGTCAATGGCTATGGGTGCACCCCTGGAAGATGCTCGTGGTCTTGCACAGCGCTATAGCCGGATGAGACATGAAGCTGAGATCCTTGTATGTACTGGTGGCTTAATCCTTCGCTGCAAGTGAGCAAATTCCACAAATTCCAATTGCTGCTACTTCCATTTACCCTGATCCTTCTTGTTTGTTCAATAGTCAGCTGAAATTGCTAGAAGAAAGGCACGGGTAAGAGAAGCTCCAATTCCTGAGCACACTACAAAGCTTCAGCAGCCAGAAGCTAAAATGATAGAGCACAAAGCAAGTATGGCTGTGTTAGGAAAGGAAGCAGCCGCTGCGCTTGCGGCTGTTGAATCTCAGCAGCAACGAGTGACCCTTCAGCGGCTGGTTGGCGTGGTGAGATTGCTTACTTATAATCTGTGGCTATTCTATTTGCATTGTTTGTTACATTCATTTATTTCTTGTCCTTGGCAATTCGTCTCATTGAAGGTAGAAGCAGAAAAGTTATTCCATCTGAGATTAGCTGCTATCCTTGATGATGTTGAAGCGGAGGTAGAGTTTTCACTTTTCACTTTGATTGCTATGGGAAGTTGTAAAAATTCTCTTGCGTTCCTTTTTTTTTTACGATTTCTTCTTTGTAGATGTCCTCTGAGAAGCAAAGGAGAGAATCTGCACCACCTATTATATCTTCGCATAAGCGTGCTGAGAAAGCCCAGTACTTCCTTGCTGAGGTGAAACTGAGTAACTGGCAGTAAAAAGCAAGTATACATCATATTTTCCATTTATATGTACAGTATCAATCTTTTTGGTGCTGCAGGCAATGCATAATTTCAATGGAACCACAGAGAAGGAACTGAGCTTAATTGTTGGCGATTATGTTGTCGTTCGTCAGGTCAGTGTGCTCTTAACAGTTTCAGCTGTGGAAGTAAATGTAGTACCCACTGGCTAACCTGGCTTAAGAACTGTTAACGGATCATAAGAAACCATTGGTCAAAGACGACCAGTTAGTATATGGACACTTGTCCTCCTGCAGTGAGTGCAAACTGCACAGTGGCTGCCTACAGGCTTGTAGGATGAATTGGTCGCTGAAAAGAACCATACTATGGTGGAAGGAATATAAAGAATGAATTAGCCTGTCCAACCAAAAACACTACCCACTAACTGTCAATACTATTTCACTGTATGATTGCATCCTTATTCTTTCTGTGCCTGCACCAGATTGCTCCCAACGGCTGGGCGGAAGGAGAATGCCGAGGGAAGGCCGGTTGGTTTCCAGCCGCCTATGTTGAGAGGCGTGAAAATATCCCCCCGAATAAAGTTTTCCCGCAAGCATAAGATCACAAGGGGTCATCTGTTTCCACTGTGCAGAGTTTGTGGGTTGCAAATAGCATTCCCTGCCACAGATACGCAGTTTGGTGCGACCTGACCCTGGCATTGGGGAGTTGTAAGCCTGTATGTAACTTCCGACCGGTTTGATGCTTCGGTTCTTGTGGTGGTCTAGACTTAGAACAAGATATGGCGGCACGTGCTGTGCCTGCACGCCCATTGAAGATGTAGCTTCGCATGTGTAATCCTTGTTTTGCGGTAGCATAGGTCTTCCCTTTCTCTGCTACTGACGAGTGTAAACTGTAAAGTGATTCTTGCTTGATTTTGTTAGTGTGTATCAGTTGTTCTGTACAATATGTTTTTTGAATGATATCATTCGGACATCAGCTTTGACCCGTCGAAGTTGTGTTTCCACCTGTTTCAGCCACGGTAATCTTCTGAAGGCTCGTGGTATGGTTCGGTATAGGAAATCGTTGGATGAACACACAGTGTATGACATTTTTTGTGATGTGACTGATCAGAGGAATTCAATCCTTGGAATTGGCTTATCATCAGCTTACTTCTTGAAATCAGCTTTATCACGTTAAAATGTCGTACATGTATATCATGTTAAAATGTCCACTTCAATGCTCAGCGGGCATCACAATATCACTTGAGATTCTCAACTTACATAGACCAAATCACGTAACTAGTTCAACGTTTTTTTATTAATAATTATCTGTAAACATCACATTCACAATTGCACATCACATCACACGTGTCCGATAGAAAACATTCAATATATTCACGCTTGATTGATTCGATAAATATATGTTCCCTTGCACAGGCCAATAGAAGCTAAACTAAAGCAAATCTGTGCGCAATTCATCTGACTGTGCCCTATCTGTTCAACATCTGATCCACCACAACGTTCATAGTTTCATACGGTCATGGCCAAAGCTATGTGTACACTTCGGTGAAAGGCCTGACAAATTAGCAGTACTTATCTACGCCCGGACGCCCTTTGCAAGTCATAGGCACCCCAAGAACCATGCGCTGCACTAGTTCCATACTGGGAACCAGAATCAGTGGCAGCATTTGCCTGCAATAGAGAAGTAGCTTCGAATGAGGACGAAGGGATGTGAGGACTGGTTCTGCAGATGATAAAGGACAAGCCAGATGACATACTTGATTAATGCCATATCCAGAGTTAAAAGGATTTGCAGCATAATTGGCCTTGGGGTTCCCATAGCTTCCAATATAACCTGCAGGAGACAAATCAGCTTCACCTAGTAATCATCAACGCCTATTATGCCAGATTACAAATCAGCTTCACCTACTATGCCAGATTACTAATCAACTTCACCTATTATGCCAGATCACTAATCAGCTAACACAGCATCACATTTAACAAGCTGGTAGTTTCTCATTAATATGATCTATGGATAGGTTAGGTTTTACGTGGTGGATACGTTAGGTTTTACGCGGTGGACAGGATAGGTTTTAGCATACAGATTTTTCACATCTCAAATTCACAATCGCTCTGTCAGCATTCTCACCTAATTATCTTAACACTTGGCTAGTTTTGTTGTCAAGGTCATCTCACCTAATTGATCACATAAGTACCAGATATTTGGAACAGAAGCGATATACTAAAAAAAAATAACCTCCTGCTCAGATCATACCTTGATTGCCTGCAGACACAACGGCCCGTGACCTCTTCTCCGCGTTAGCAACCTCACCTCGAAATTTCTCCACCTCAGAAGCCACTGAAATCAATTTTTTCTGCATCTCCTGTCCCTGCTCATAACTCTCTGCATATCCTTTCTTCTCAAGCTCAATACCAGATCTGAATAGTGGCTCATAATAAATACCATACAGTTGAATAAAAGCAAAGGTATTCGTTGCAAATTCGCCTTTCTCTCTATTACTCAACAGAAAATCAAAATTCCATTAAATCCCTTTTTGAACATATCATTCCAGTTTGGAGTGAAGTATGTTTTGACTGGGTCGACCAGGTGAAAGGGAAGGGAACAATGGCAATGTTTACTCATAATGCTGATTGGGAAGAGGTAAGGCAAAGCAGGGAAGAGCAGATAAAAAATTAATAATGATTTTTTTTTCTTCTTGAATACGCAGGAGAGCTGCACATCATTGCATCATTAATAACGAGTTTGTAAGCATGTTGAAAATCCTTAAACCTTCTATATTCAAAAAAGAGTAGGTCAAATATTTTAATAGAATGTACCTCAACTGTTGTGTTTCATGTTTGATCTCCTGGATCTCAGCTTTTAATGCAGACACCTTCTGCAAGTCTTCTGCCGACCGGGCCAAATCCTGTGTTAATCCCTGAACTTGGCCCATGAGTTCCTGCCTCGCTGTACCCAGGTTTTGAATGTCCATACGAACTTGTGCAAGCTCTGCTCTCATTTCATGTACTGCCCGGAGCTCTGCTTCCATCTTCATTGACCTCTCATAAACCTATTAAAATTATTTTGGATATTACAACCAAAAGAACCATAAATTAATTATATTTGATACGAACAGAAATATCTTATTGAACTAAGTCAGGCGGGTTCCGAGATAAATGAATTTACATAATATAACATGCATGTATTTGAAAATATCGGCTGAAAAATGGGGCCTTACCTCAAGATATAAAACATAAAATCCAACTTATTCCTGCTATGCAGTTTCAAACCTACAACTAATGCAAAACTATGCAATTTCATGGAAAATGCACATAAATACAAGTGCAACTAATTAAAAATATAGCATAATTGAACTTGGGTTGGTTTTGCAAGAAAAATACAGTTAATTTTGTGGCTTCAAACAAAATAGTGGATTAACATGATGTTGGTAAAAAGAGAGAAAAACAAGCATGCATGTGTTACCGTATTCTAAGAAAAAAAAAGTGCGGAACAAAATATTTCTTCTAGAATTAGTAGAGTTTATATCAACAGAGTGAAAATAGAGCTTGAGAAGCTCCTATGAACAAAGAATCACATAGGAACTCTGAATCTCTAGGAAGGTGGAGGCAGTGTATTGTAGAAATCTAACAGATTGCTTAGGATAAGTGTATGGGCTGTACGACACACAGAAAACTTGGAAACTGGGACATGTTAAAATTTTGAGCACGGCACAAACAGCAAACATGAAGGACAATGACCTACATAATACATACACATAAGCATATATTCTGCAGCATCTAGCTTGTTTAATGTATCTGCCTTCTCTGCCGTGCTTTCATCTTCTCTCCATCTTTACCCATTATTTACATGCAAGAAGACGATGAGATCAAAGGATGTGAGGTTCCAATCTAATGCAAGCTGACAAACTTTCCACAATTGTGACAATGGCATGGACATGGACATGGACATGAAGATAAATATAAATCCAGGGTTCTAATTCTGTGGCTTGTCCCCTCCACTATTCCAGAAGCAGACACCTAGCCTGACAAGGCACTAGGAAGCCTCCTGTCTAGCACCCAAGCACAGCCTAGATCCCTCCTTGCCTTGGCAGACACCAAACCCACTTAGGCGACCATGACCTATTAAACTATGATATGAGGCAAACTTCCCTCTTTTTCAATTTATATGAACACAAGTGCAGGTGCTAGTATCTAATTCAGGTGCCAATGTCTGATTCAGCAGATTTTTGGGGGGCACAGGAAAAAACACTTGGAATCGAAAACAGGTATCGGAATCTGACCGGGTGTGTGTGTGTGTTTAGCTCGCAAAAAAAGGGACATGCGTCCAGGTAAACTTCTATATCTCGTCTCATTTTTTTTCCAATTGCTGGTGCTATGCAAGTCAAAAACAAAAAACAAAAAAAATGGCACACATACACATTGTGATCATTTGTGTGATTTTTGTGGCCGAGGTTTCCAAATACAGTGCAGGAGTGTCATAAATCTAAACAAAGAAGAAAACTGATTAATGGCAATACAAGTTAAAAGTTCACATCACCGGTACCAAATAGATCAAAATATACACTGCAGTCAAGTTTAGCCCGAAATTTGCAAGACTGGGAGAAAATTAGGTTTTTATAGACACCAAACAAACATAGAGACTCCAGGGATCTGCATAGCTTCAGTTGCTCCTTCAATTTGAGCAAGCTGCTTCCTGATAAGTACCCAAATTTGCAACGCATACAAAAGAAGAAACATTCAGCCCGTTGAAGCTCGTGAGGGAGAGCGTCCGCACCTCGCGAAGGCGTAGGTCGCTCTCCTCCTGAGCAGAGGTGAGCGCGTGCGCGGTGCGGCCGAGCTCGTGCCGCGCGGCAGCGACCTCTTGCACGAGCGCCACGTGCGTCGCGGCCAGCCGCTGGTTCTGCGCGAGTAGCTCATGCGCCTCGTCGATCTCGGCGCCAAGCCGCTCCTCCAGCGCCGCCACCACATGCGGCTGGGGTGGCAGGGGGCCACCGGCACCGCCGTGGCCGTGGCCCACGAAATGGCGGAGATGCGGCGGCGGCGGCGGCTCCTGGAAGCTGTCGGGGTGGCCGGGCGGCAGGCGGGACGGGTCGCGGAAGTCGTCTAGGTGGTGGTGCGGGGGGAGGCGCGGCGGGTCGCGGAAGTCGTCTAGGTGGTGGTGCGGGGGGAGGCGCGGCGGGTCGCGGAAGTCGTCGAGGGGGTGGTGGGGCGGGAGGTGGGGGTGAAGCGGGTGGTGAAGCGGGGGAGCCGGATGGTTGCCGCCGCCGCCGCGGCGAGGGTAGGGAGGGGGCAGCGGGTTGCGGTGGCGGCCGGCCATGGGGAATCGCCGGAACCCTACCGATGGCGTGATGAGGATAGATTGCTTTGCCCCGAAACGTGCTTTAGGAGTTTTTTTTTCGGAATTTTGAAATTCCATTAACCGATGGGCCTCCAGTCCTAGAATAGGATATTAAACTTTTTACCGTGGATGGCGCCTCCTCAAATAACAGCTTTAGTTTAGCGCTATATTTTTAGCAGTAGAGAGAGAAAACGATACATATTTACCATTTTTGCTCGTGTGCCACGTCAACTCCGCTTTCCAGCTTGATCCGACTCAACATCCTCAGAAAAAATAACCGCCCCTGCCCCTAGCTTCTTCCTCCCCCATTACTGACATACGGGCTCCACAAGTCAGATTCTTCTTCAACCTCCGGCCATCACCACACATTGAGGAAGGGGAGGAGCTCGTGCAGTCCATGGTGACACCGCCCGTCTCCGCCCGAGACGCCAGTGACCCCGACGAGGCCACGTCCTCCGTCGGAGCCAGGGTCACGCCAGACGGAGCCAACCGCGCTCGTCGGAGCCAAGGACGGACGGCGCTCGCTGGAGCCAGGATCACGTCTGCGCCGTGTTGCTTCTTCCTCCTCTTGTGCTTGTTCTTGCTTTTCCTTGACGTGGCGCCTCGGTGGCGGTATCTCCATGGGCGGCATGGGGGCCTCGACCATGGGTGGGGGCGTCGTCAGCGAGAGGAATAGCGGCGTGACATGCTCGGCCGACGGCGGTGTGGCCGTCGGGCGAGGAATCCTGGCTGGGTGGCAAAGAATGGAGAGGGAGCACCATGGCGACCTCGTGGGAGGTGGCGTGACCGGTGGTGGCGTCACCCGGTTTTGGTTTGGCTTGGCGGTGCGGTGGCTTTCTTTGGTGCGACAGGGTGGTGGTGGTGGCGCTAAGCGTTGTCGGGGTGGCGATGGGTGTCGGCGTCGCCGGGTCGTGCAAATGGGTCGAAGGTGCGTGGGTGCGGTTGGCGATGGATTACGCATGGCGGCGAGGTGGAGTGATGCTACGAGGCGCCGAGCAAAAGCAGTTGGGCGCCATTGCCGGAAAGCAATGGCGGCAATGCTACGGCGGTGGCGATCTCGCTTGTTGAAGTGCGTCACGGATGCTCCGGCTAGAGGACGAAGGAGAATCTGACTTGGGGCCCGCGTGTCAGTGAGGGGGGATAAAGACGCCAGAGCTAGGGGAGGTCTTTTTATCTGAGCGTGCTGACTCGGAGCTGGCGTGCCACGTGAGCACAAGTGATAAATGTGTATCGTTTTTGTCTCTCTGCTGCTAAAAATGTACCGCCAAACCTAAAACTGCTATTTGAGGAGGCGCCATCCATTATGATGATAAAAAGTTAAATATCCCCCTACAATACAGCAAGCTACCGTATTAAGCCCCCTTTGAATTGCGAAAAAAATAAAGGAAAAATGTAGGATTCACATTCCTATGGATTAAATCATTTGGTCATAGGAATTGCATGTAGGAAACTTTCCTTTGTGTTTGATTTGATTTCATAGGAAATCCACAGGAAAAAAATATCCACTCAGACCTCATGTTTTGGTTTCCTACGTTTCTCTTGTAGTTCATCCAAACACCTATTTTTACAAACTTCCTGTACTTCCTCTGTTTTGCGTATGCATTCCTATCTCATTTCTGCGTTTTTCTTATTCCTATATTTTTTCAATCCTACATTCCAAATGGGGTCTTCGTCTATTAACTTTAGGGACAATGGTTAATGGTTAATAGAGAGCATAGCCTTGGCTTCATGTATGAGGCCATCCATCGCAGTCACTACACGTCGAATTCCCATCTCATGCGTACGTAGCTTTGATTTCCAAAAAAACCATTGTTTTGTCTGAAATGCGTCTGTCACATTTGAAATTTGATAAGGGCTTCCCCGATGCATCACGCTGGACTACTGCCTCAGTCTCCACATATGCATCAACTCGCCATGTCACAAGAGATGGTGGTTCCACAGGGTGACATAGGACCCTGCAGAAGAACCAGCAGCCTCATCTGACAAAAAGTAGAGGCAGCTGCTAGGGAGTATGTTGCGGGGAAAAAGTGCTCAAACATGATGTTGCTTTCCTCTCAAAAGCAGAGCATGAGAACAAAAAATGAGAGCACGGAACGTGTTTTGTGGGACTGTGAACATGAAAGGAGAGTAGTGGGATGAGTTGCTTGCGTTGAGAGACTGTTGCCCTCAATTTTTCTACTCCTACATGGATGGTAACTTTTTGTCGAGGCATACAACTACTACTGCTCGCATTGGTGTTGCCCTAATCCGCCCCCACCAGCTTTCACCACGTCCCCCATACTATCTCTGGTCATGAATCCCTATCTTCCTTTCTTTCCCTTGTAGTCATAGCTCCTGTTTTTCAGCACTACTTCAGTAATATTTTTCAGCGAAGGAACAATGTTTTTCTCTCATGACAAATCAGCATCAGCAGCTAAATTTCAGCGAAACGAAGCCATAGTCTCCATCTGAGTTTAGCTTTAGCACGTCTGACTCCAGCATTTTTCAATGATATGGTTGGTCTTCTGTTTTGCTAACCAACCCCTTTCAAATCTCTACTATATGAAGAAGGAAGTTTATGTCCCGTCTGCCAAACAGTTTTCGTCCGACATCCGTCCACACCTTCATACGCTCCACCTCCACAGACGGTTTTCTATACCTCTTCTCCCATTTCCATTCAGCCCCTACGTCGCCGCCCCATGCCAGCACCTCCTCCGCGCGGACATATTGAACTCTACCGCCTGGATCTCTTTGGCACAGTTAACATCGGTCTCCTCTACAATCTCCTCCGTGCGATTCCCTCTGTGGCTTTGTGGCACGAGTCAAGGCAGTGTCGGATCAGCCGCGCCAAGGCCACCATGAGGTCGTCCTCCTCCGACGCCCTCTAGGATTGCGCGGCACGCTGCGCACGCGGACGCGATGTAGTGGTCGGTCACATCGGACGTGGTGGTGATGGTCACCTCGCATCGAATCTCTAGCGCAGAGCCCGCAGACCTAGCGGCCCTAGGTAGTGGTACTCGGCCCGCACCGCTTGATGTACGCAGGTGACTCCTCCGTGAACCCGCAGCACTTGCATTTGCTCCCTCCACCTCATTGCCTTCCTTTACTTTCCTTGCAGCATGTAATCTTCAGGATTAATCTAGTAGAACTTGAACCACACATGCATGACAACACAGTTCAATAACTATGAAAACTAATAACATGCAAAGATGTAACAGACTAGCATGTGAGCATCATTGAGCGGAACTATTGTATTGTATATAAGAAAAGTAAGCCAAATGATATAGGTTCTCTCATAAAGGACATCAAAATGAAAGTGGCTGCTATGTGGCATGACTACTCTATGTGACAATATATCGGCTAGTAGCTCTGTATATGTCACATCCCACTTACTTATTAAGATCTATGTGCCAACTACCATAAGATGGAAAGCAGGTCAACAAGTTTGAATCCCACGTCACAATGAGCTAGATGCCAACTTGGTTTTAACCAATTATTGATTATAGTAGTTATCCTAGGCTCTGAAAGGCCACATGGATGTTGGCAACTATACTGCTAGTGATGATATTTCTTAGGTGTATCTTTTACCTATAAAGGTTCGCTACCAGTTGAGAGTCTATCCAAGAAGGATATTGGTCATTGTTGCTTTTGACAAGTAGCCTTTTTTTGCTTAGGTCAATGACTTTATATTAAGAATATTATTTCCCAGATAAATGAAAATTCTTGGTTTTATATGTTCTATTTAAAAGCTTCTCTTCATGCTGAATAATGAATTGATTCGAGCCATGCTTTATATAGAACACGAAATATGTTGCAATAAATATAATGACTCAATTTTTCTATATGGCATGAGTAATTAGGTCAAATTTGGGCAATAAAAAAAGAGTTGGACTATGACATTACTCTGCATCCAAAATTTCTGCTTGGCGGCCATGGCTATATGCCATATTCTTGCTCCCATACTTATGCACACCAAGCTTAATGCGCCTGAAAGCGCAATGCCACCATTAATTGCTTTTTTCCAAACATATGGCCTAGAAGGTCAATGTACACAATGGATAGATTGATTGTCAATTTTATGACAATTGGTGAGTATGAGCCCCTGAAGGACCGTTATGGATAAATTATGGGTTACTAAAGTAACTACAGGTATTAAGTCTCTAGAAGGTTGTTTGTGCATTTGTTTGAAATTAAGAACTTGCAGAACAATAGTTTATAATCCATCAGAAGTTATGGACTCACCAAGAAGTTGAGGATACTCCTCCTGTAGAAGGAGATATATGCAGTATTCATGCAACTACATTAATAAAGTTCGAGCTCACTGCATAAAAAAAGTAATCGGCCCCCTAATATTCAAGTGCATAATATTTCCCAAATACATCACCACTAAAGCATACATACACAACACTAGAAGTTGGTGAATGGGGACTTTTTAGTATGCTATTAAATATCTCGGCATTAGGGGTAGATGAATGCCCATCTTATGGAATGCCTTGATATTTATGAATCAAAACGCACAAATCCAAACTAAATTAGTTGTTTAGTTACACTCCTCTATTCTATAGCATGGAGTTATGCCAGATAACTATTTGTATCGATGAGGAGCAACAAGATTGGTTAAAATCTAAATGAATGCTTCTACCTGAAGTAGATGTCGATATACCCAGGATTAATTTCATATCCATGTGATATTAGAATTTTGATCAAATTATGAGAATAAGATCTAGTCGCCTAAATGTTGACGGTAGTTAACATTCATCATAAACCATCAATATAACTTGTATAAATGGCTAAAAAGGATCACCAATGTAGACTTAGAGGTTTAAACTGATAAATTCCACAAGTTTTGGTGAATCTGTGTTTTCAACAGGATTTAATCAAAAAACTGCCAATGAGGACATATTCGTCAAAAGAAATCACGGAATTCCGTCGCGTAAACAGCATGGGAAGACTCTCGAAGACTCTAGGAGGCTCTCCACCGAAACAGACCCCGAGCCACT